ACTTCAAGCTCCCAACATGGAAGTATTTATAGGCAAGGAAGGGGAGAGGGGAAACAAGAAAATAAGAGAGGATGACTAAATAGTGTATGCCACTCATGAAAATCAACTACTCTGCAGGCAGTCTGTGGAGGACGTTCGAACGTTGTCTTCTGTTTTGTTTTAGGGGCGTTCGAACGTGTCTTCTGGTCTTGCTTTAGGGGTGTTCGAACGTTAGATGGGATGTGACCACATCACTCAAGTGATCTTGGTCTTCTGTGGAAACCCACTTCCACACTTCATGTAGGGCTTGGAGTTTTGCACTCATCACTCTGATCTTTCTTCAAGTCATGTGGCCGATTGAACGGTAGTTGGCGTTCGAACGTGGTACTCCAATACTTCAGGGTCCTCCTTCTTGACTGCGACACGTCAGGTCTCAGCAGTCTGGTCTCCTCATAGTTCAAGTGGACGTTCGAACGTGAGTTGATGTTCGAACGTGGTTGCTTTGTCCCAACCTTCTCCAATTTTGTTTTCTAATGCACTGATATCACCCTCAAGTGTGATATTTGTTGTTCTTGAGCTTTTGTTTGTTTTAGGTCCTAAAATGTCATCACTTAAACTCCATCAAAGTACAATTAGTCCAAAAAAGGCAAAATAATATGCTACATTTAATTACCAATCAGTCAACGTTTAAAGTTCAAGCCATTAAATTTTTCGAACTTCTCTCCATAAGACACACTTACGGTAATAAGAATAGAATTTGTTATAGCCATTTTTGTTGCACAAACAAAAGCAAATAACATTTTGATTTTAATAAACTAACGTAGTAATATAACATAATACAAAATTTAAGATTGTTATATATAATCAGAATTATTGTCATAATTCTATAATCACTAAGTATACTGTTATATGTAAATTAATAAATAAAACATAATTTTTAACACACATAAATACACTTACAGTGACGCAGAACAACAAGAATAATAACAATCCAGAAATAATTTGAGCCCTATGTAATCACAATTTTCCTAAGGTAGATTTGCTCTCCCTCGATACTTAAGATTATAGCAATTGTCTCTCAAAATAGAATGTATTTCATTTTTGAAGAACCAACACTTTAATCTTTAGAACTCTAATGAACAAAACTCTGTGTTTTATATTTGAACCGAGCAAATATGTAGTGTAGAGAAAGATAGAGAGAGAGAATATATCCAGCAATATGCAGATTATTGTCTGTTTTTTCGTTATTAAAAATGGTTGTAAGACAATATATTTATAGACCTTTAGTGCCTGTTCGGATTGCCTAAAAAGGCACGGAATGTCACTATTTATTCAACTTGTTCGGATCAAAGAGATACACCTTTAATCTAAACAATAACGAAAGAGAAAGACACTTCTTGAATGAACTAGTACAATTCAATTTCGGCACTAAATTCAAATTTAACGGACATAAATTTAAAAATCCAATTGGATATTTAAATTTCGGTTGAAAGATTAATTACAATATGTATTCGGATCTGTTTGATTTGACCCACAACTCACACTGCACCAAATAATTTTTCTCCAAAAAGATAATATCTTTTTGACCCAAGGCCCAAGCCCGATCAGGTCATAGCAGGCAGGTCTATGTGGTAACCAAGGTTGTGTAGGTACTCACTCCACTCACAATAATGTGGAACCCTTTGGAGCCCAACCCATAAAGCCATCTAGGAGTATCTTAACTCACTAAGGTTTTGATTTTCGTCCAATGTGGGACAAGTCTTATACACTACACTTCATTAAACTTAATTTCTTCCATCTATTCAAGTGGGCCACTTTGAGACATAATTTTTCATTCATTACTTAATAGTTTTGAACAAATAAATATACCACACTAATCTCTTCGAGGATAACGCGTTTAAACTTAGTTCCATTAATTTTGAGATGCAAGTCCCACTTTTATTTAACACAAAGTTATTAAAAATAACTTTTTTTTTTGAACTGATTAAAAATAACTTAATCAAAACCATTATTTTCCAACATGAATTGTGTACAAAGGTCAATATTTTTCCGGGATTGTGTTTTTAGAGGATTCTATCGGTTTTTTTTTAAAAAAAAAAATAGTTGGTCCAAATTGATTGGAGATTTTGCTAGTTGACGATGTTTCATATTTTTTCTATCAGTGATTTTTTTTTTTTTATGTTGCACAGTTTTTTTAGACATGGGTATTAGTTAGTCCCTATATAAAATACAAAGTTTTAGTTATAAGTATTATGTCCTTTTAAGCATCCTATAAACTATAAGACTAATTTTAAATTGCCATTGAAAGTAGAATTTTTCTTTCTAATTCTCGAATCATGATTCAAAGAAAGCAGTAAAAATTATAACACAACATTAATAGGAGGGTTTCTCTGAATTTTAATGTTGTCTGCTGTGTAGGAAAACATTGATACATATTACTACAAAAGTGAGAGATTCTTAAACCCAAAAAAGGAGGATACCAATTGGCTCAGTGTAAAGTTATTCTTGGGTGGATTCTTTACTTGAAAGTTTTAATTTTTTCTCTCAAGTTGTAAAAATAGATTGATATAGTGTTCTTTATTTACATGAATATTTCTTGAACACAAAAAAGATAAAAAAAAATTGGTACAAATGGTATATTCTATAAAAAAAAAAAAAGAAAAAAAGGCTGTTACAATCCTTTAACTAAAAAGTGAGGCTAATTATGACTATTTCCAATAGATCCATATGAGTTTTCATATATTGAAATAATTGTATAATAACTTTATTATTAATGTCGTAACATCATTGATATTATCAATGCCGTAACATCGATTCTTCACAATCTTAATTTTATAATTTTTTGTTAAACTATGTTCAACGAATCATCATATACATCCAAATACCAAAGCCAATAGATCAACATACATGTAGCAAGCATAAAAATTCCACTAAAAGTTAACTCAAACATGCAGAGTCAACTTCCAGCAGTCCCAGACACTTCCACAAAAGACACTTGACCTAGGAGGGTTGAATTGTGGTGGCCCAATTTTACATATTCTCGTGATATATATATATATGTGTGTGTGTGTGTGTGTGTGTGTGTGTGTGTGTGTGTGTGAAGTGTTTGATAGGTTTGACTCTTATGACACTCACCATATAATGCTTTTTAAATTGCATTAGCTGAGCCCAAAATAGATAATATGGGATAATCTAGGTATAGATATAACAACGGCTGCAAATTCATCGACTCTTTTTGTGTGCATGTCACTTAATTTTTGCGTCCCTTGTGTACCTTGGTTCAACAGGACGGCTTAAGATGGTGAAAACTAGCATGGTGGGATTTATCCTCTAGAATCTCACGTAACCTAAATTAAGACAAGTCAAAAAAGAAAACGTTTGAGCCTAGGGGTGGATTATGGTGATTCAATATCACGTCGCCTAGTAAAGTATGTATTGATTACTTTATAAGTTCGACGCATTCAGATACTCGACTGTTACATTGTAGTGATCGTCCTTCAACTATCATGGGGCTCATGTGAGACACACAGCTGTATTTAGAATCCAAAGGGTATATGACTCAAAAAAACTGTCATATGAGTTGTTTTAGCCAAATAAGCAGCTCCAACCCACAAGGTCAATATTAGATATTGTAAAACCACCTGTTAGTACCACCAATTCACAGCGTAGGCCAAGCACATAGCCATTGTTAACCTCACAAATTGCCTCTATCTCTCTCTCTCTCTCTCTCTAGCAGCTCATAATACAAGGCCCAATGTTTGGTATAGAGCTTCTAGTGATCTATAATCACTCCTTCGAATAGACATTATTGCCTAATTTGTGTTGGAACATGTTCATTTCACAAGTTTAGTCATTCAGACAAGATTTAACTCCATATGCTTAGAAATGCACCAAACTTAATCAGATTTATCATTATGTTTGTGGCCCTACTAAGCTGAAATTAGTGGTTGTGTGATATTTGCTAGAAGCCACTATTTTTGCCAGATAGACTTCCTTGATTTATCACTTTCTTATAATCACCACTGTCTCATGGCCTTTCAAACACTAAGTGACCCAATCAATAACATGACACCACAACCGACAATCCGAAAATAAGTATTACCCAGTGTACCAAATTCTCACCCATACCAGAGTTTGGGATAAGTATGACGTAGACAATATTACTCCCATTTAGAGAGGTTGATTTTGAGACTCAAACTACGAGTAGAAGTTGGTCCAGATTCGACCACTATTGGGTGAAATCTAATGCAATCTTAGCGTCACAACTAAAGGAACTGTTGGATGAAATTAAATCTGGATGTACCTTCAGGATGTGAATGCAAGGAGTGAAGCTATGGGAAGAGGATTCAAAACTCTATTAGGGCATGTTGAGGTTGGTGGGTCATGAAGTGTTGGATGTAAATAGGTATCCGCCAGCTAGTAACTAAAAGAGTGGTGGACCAACCAAAGGAAAGAACAAAAATAGCCAAGTGTGGGTGTATTTAATAGCATTATATTATTAGCATTGACACAATGTAACCTAAAAAAGGTCGGAGGAGGATTCATATGACAAGGGCAGTTACTTACTGGCATTCCATACTTCTTTATGTTTGGCACCATTAATATGAAGAGAGAGAGAGAGAGTTTCTTGTAAATGAAACAATGAAACTTAAACCACATAGACTTCTGGTTGTGATGGTGGTGACAGTTCCATGCCAACCTCTCTCTCTCTCTCTCTCTCTCAAGTGGTTACACATTCTCTGCCCCTTGAAGAAAACCATTTAAAAATAACAAGAAAAAAATGACTTTCATAAACTTTTCATGAAGCCAAAGCCTATCAGAACAGAAACTGCATACCATAGAATTCAAAGAACTTCATATGCAATTATCAAATTATCAGAGCATGTCAAAAAGAATTCAAAGAATCCATCTTTTTTTCTGAATGGCAACAAATGGAAAAAAAATCTTGCTATTACAAATTGATATATCTGTGAAACAAATTGAGGAATATTGGTATATAAAAAATTGATGAACCTTCTTACTTAGTAGTGACAATCCACCATGGTTGGGGTGGCGGACAAACCAAGAGTCGATTGTTGTTGTTGCTGTTGTTGATACTGTTGGTTCAAGGCACCGGCAAACTTGTCTCGAGTGTGATCATCTTCCGGGGCCGGAAGGTTAAGATCCAAAGGCAATGAATGTCTTGGCTGCTTGGCTTCCTCGGATTGATCCATGGAAATTGGACTCAAAGACAAGGTTGTGTTAGTGTCCACTGGTGCCCGGTGGCGCCTCATGTGACCCCCCAAGGCTTGCCCAGAAGTGAATTCAGTGCCACAAATCGAACACTCATGAACTTTTGAAGGTTTTGTATTGCCAAACACACCCTTCTTGCCCAACTGAAGAGAAAGAGAAGATATGTTGTTCTTGAATTGTGCTTCTTCTTCATCAGACAACACTAATGGCTTCTTTTCTGCAGCAGCCATGGACTTGGTTTTCTTGTGACTCGCCCTATGACCCCCAAGTGCCTGAAACGAAGGAAAAGTCCGGTTACAAGTCTTGCATTCGTATACATATATCCCAACCTTGCCATTCGCCGTTGCGGGCGCCTCCAGATATCTTTTGCTAGTGAATTTATAACTCCCAAACTCTTCATCTTGATTCCTAGGTGACTCTCTTGAATGACCTTGAGCTAAAAGAATTAGGCACTTGGCCGTGTCTTCTTCTTCTTCGGTGGTGCTACCGGCAAATTCAGCCGAGGAGGCCGGAGAGGACCATCTGGTGTTGTTGATGTTGGTGGTATCTTCATTGCTGCCATGGCCGCCAACTCCATCTCCGCTTGATGAATGAGCTGTGATTGTGAAAGGAATCGGGGATTGTAGCCTTTGTCTCTTTGTTCTCTTGCCTTTTGCAACATGCCCAAGATCTTTAGGACCTATGCTTTCCTCCAAAACTTCCATGTTCCACCTCCACACCCCCAATAAGAATCTAGAGAGAGAAAGAGGAGGGTGATGGAGGCAGGTGGCAGAGGAGTGGGGGTGAGTATTTATAAATGGTGAATGAGAGGTTTAGGAGTCAAAAGACACCCCTAAAGGACAGTAACTGTGAATGTGTCCACCAATCCTTCAAGGAAGTGATTATTTATAAACTTGCATATGTGCAAATTTAGGGGGGAGAGAGTGCTAGCTTGTGCCTATAGATAGGAGAGAGAGAGAAAAGAAAAACACACCATTGTAACTGAAGATATGCTAAATAGGGGGAGTTAAACAGTTGGACGAGAGGTCTTGTTAATGTAAAGTCCGTTTCAGACTCTCTTTCTATCACTTTACTAACTATTACATATTCTATATATATCTGTACCTATAAATAAACTCTATAATACTAAGAACTAAAAAATAAACAAAATACCAACAAGGCTCATGGATTCCAAACTTTAAAAAAAGGGGGAAAAAACACTTACACACTCATTAATGTGTGTAATAACGCTTGCTATTATAAAAACAAATAGCTTATATATTATCTTTACACGACTCAGACCTAACATAACATAGCAATAGTCATTATAGTCTTATTGGGTGAGCTAATGGATCGGGTCGAACGTAATTGCGCTTGGCATGCTAAGCAAGAAAAAAAATGACATAATGACCAACTAAAACTCGCTTAAAATATCAAAAGAATACTCCAAGTGGATTAATTAATGCAAAAATAAAAACTCACTTGAAATGAGAACAACTCTCTTAGATTAATTAATGGATTCACTAAAAGGTCACTAGGCCAGGTGGGTGATAGGATTTGTACAAGTTGAAATTGACTTGGATTAACTTAATCAGAGATTCAGAGTATTCATGCTACTAAGGGTTTACTTGGATCTAACCCAATTCAAGCAAATTTAAGTGAGAAAAACTTTTATGATTGATATTTGATAAAGGGTTACATGTTTAAGTGATGATACTGACAATATTTCTTTCACATACCCTCTGTCCACAGACACGTCTTGTTGAAGGAAACTGCTGTGCATTAGAGGGGGAGACATATATAATATCCTCCCTAGAGTGTGTATCTTAGTGTAGGAGAGAGAGAAAGAGAGATTCGGGGGTAGGAGAAATGAAGGGCCATTCCTTTGCCTCAACGATTCTTTCTTTCTGTATGTAAAAAAGGTGGTGATGATTGGAGTGCAAGCCTGGAACCACGGAATCCGCGGTGCTTCTCTCTCTCTCTCTCTCTCTCTCTCTCTCTCTCTCTCTCTCTCTCTCTCTCTCT